AGATTATTTATTACTTCAACACTCCTGCATTTGGGAGAAGACATTAATCTTTTGGTTATGCCAATGTTTAAGAGGATGGTGGCTTTTGTGATTGCAGTTGGTAAAAAGTAGTTTTTTAAAAATTACTTTTTCTTGTGGTTTTGTATAATAAAATATATATTTAGTTAAAATTATTATTTTTTAAAAAATAATTTATATGTGTTTGGTTAAGTTACTTTTGTAAGTGCTTCTAGTAATAAAATTACCAATAAGAACATGTGTGAGTTTTCAAGTTGTGTATAACATTTGTGAGCATTTGTTTTTGTAATACATAAAAAAATAAGAATGCTACATTATTATTGTCCTTCAATCATCTCATTAAACTATTTGTTATTCCATCACATACATAATTCATTCAAAAAGGTCTCTAGTTGCCTTGACTTTGAGAATGTGGAATAACATCAACTAAAAAATCATTATGAATAAAATTTAGATTGCAATTATATTCTATAAAGTCAACATCTTCTTGTGACTTCCTTCTAATATAGTTATGTAATGTCATTGATATCACGATAATTTACACTTGTGATTTGTATGGATATGTTGGTATGTTCTGTAAAATTCTCTATTTTTGTTTCCACACTCTAAATAAACATTCAATAACATTGCAAAGTGACAAGTGTGCACAATTGAATCGCTCTTCTTGACTTGTTGGTTGCCTTCGATATAAAAAATCTTGGAAATGATATCTCTCATCTTTATATGAACCGAGATATCCATACTCATTTGGGTATCTAGCATTTACCAAATAATATTTGCCTACAATGACAAGTAAGAGAATTATAACAAATTTAATAAAAAAAATAAAGAATAAACATATTTAAATTTAAATAAAAATTAATTACTATCATGTATTTATCTTCACTAAGTTTTGGAAATTTTATAGTTGGATTATCAATAGCCTCCAGAAAAATACAAGTATCATGAGTGCTACCTTCTCATCCTGCCCAAACAAACATGAATTGCATATCAAAACTACATACGACCATTACGTTCTGTATCGACACACATTTTCTATTGATAATTCATATTTGATTTTCTTGAGAAACAAAAACATGAATATGTGTACCATCCATCACACCAAAAACAATTTTACAAAACAAAACAATAACCAACATTTCATAAATAATGACTAGAAAAATCTAAAACTAATTTCTTATTATCATTAATTGCTATAAACATTGTCTGTCTAATCTTAAAATGAGACATAAATCTTGAATTCATCATGATTTCTTGAGGAGTGTTTAAAAATTCAGAATCCTCTGGTTTAATTATGTTTACCGCAAGTAAAC